TATTATTATTATTATTATTATTATTATTATTATTATTATTATTATTATTTTGTGGAAACAATTTTCCAGTCATTTGTGGATCAAAATGATTCCTCATGCCCATTGGGAAGTGGCCCACTTCAATGCTGTCCAACTCACCTTCAAGACACCTGCATGTTCCTGAGCTTGTCTGGGGCTAGGTTCTCAGTGGAGTACTGACTCGTATTTCTGTCTCCTGTCACTAAGGACCCCTGCCACTGGCTTGTGTGTTGTGGTCTAGGGAACACAAATATCTTTGAATTTTACCAGAGTCGAAGCTGTATTTTGTATGTCATTTTGTTCAGACAATTTTTGAGGGAAAGACAAAGGAAACCTGAAATGTTTTGCCCAGCACCTTGAGGCGGATGTGCATCTTGATGTCTTAAGTGGGTCCTGTCAGGCGGTGTCTTCGTGACAGACCTCCAGCCACATTTAACCTTCACAAAATCGGGTCTTTTAGGAGCCTTGCAAACGTCTTGTGGAACTTGAATGCCTTGAGAAAATTACAGCAGTTCTCAGCCTATTTGCTGTCATAGTAGAAGGAATCACACCATGTGAATGGTGTTTTCCATTAGCTTATCCTTGAAAGAATCAAATCATTTCTTTCAACAACTTCTAGCTGAGAGCAGTTCAAAATGTATCCCTAACTTCTTCTTCTTCTTCTTCTTCTTCTTCTTCTTCTTCTTCTTCTTCTTCCTCTTCTTCTTCTTCTTCCTCTTCTTCTTCTTCCTATTATTATTATTATTATTATTATTATTATTAGTTTTCCTTTTGAAATTATACTTACTAGTTGATGACGGGGAGATAAGAATAATGAGAGCAACTTGTAGGAGTCAGGTTTTTCCCTCTACAATGTTGGTCCTGGGGATAAAACTTGGGCATCCCAAGGCTTGGTGGCAGGTGTCTTCCCCCCCCCCCCCCCGGCTCCTCAGGCCCTCTTGTCAGCTCCCCTTAGCTTCTTAAACACAAGGATGACTGTTCCCATCTTCTGGTTTCTCAGAGGCATTTCGCTAATGCTGTTTACTGGCCTGTGGAATAATTTGGTGACCTCTCTGGATGGTTGCTTTTTAAGTTCCTAATTGATTTTGCAGAGATGGCTGTAATTTCCCAGTGAGTCATCTCCACCAGCAGGGTAACACTGTGCTCTCTTTAATTGACTGGCTGCTGTGCCTAGAACGAACTGAGACTGGCAGCGGAAGCAACATTTCTAGGCTAGTGAAGCCAGGAACTTTAAACACAATCCCAAGCCCTGGTCAGCTGATGCTGGGGAGAAGCGGGCAGACGGCCCTGGCTGTGTGGGCATCCATGCCACTCAGTGCTCGCTGGGCTCGTCTGAGACCGGAGTCTAAGGCTTCGCTTGATGCAGGCAGCTCTTTGCGTAGCTGTTGTCCTGTGCATTGTAGGTGCTGAGTGACACCCTCTTCCCTAGATGTAACAACCCGCAGTGACACCAGACATTGCCACCTCACCCTCAGGAGGGTAGTGCGGACTCCTGTTGAGAACCTTAGATCACAAATCTCCTTTCCTGAGTTCATAGACATTTCCTGCATGTTTTAAGGTGGATAAAAAGATAATAGCAGGGAACTGGAGGAGTGACATCATTTATTAGAGCCTGTAAAACTTGAAATAATTCATAAAACACTCACATTTCTACCTGTTGTCGGTGCTAGCCAGAATTTTTCTGCTTTAAATATTCTTATTACTAACATTTATGGAGCACTGTTTTGTTTTGCTGTGTGTGTTGGGGGGGATCATGCTGGCGCTCAGTGGGTGGGTGTCTACCTCAACCACTCTCCACTTTGCATTTAAAGACAGCCTGTCATTGAACCCAGCATTTCCTGATTGGCTAGCTGGGCTGGCCATTGTTTTCCAAGGATCTGCCTTTCTTCCTCTGCACTAAGCAGGAGAGTTACAGACAAACACACCACGACTGACTTTTAAATGCCTGCTAGAGATGGAACACAGCTCCTTACACTTTACTGGGTCATCTCCTCAGCCCTGAGTGAGCACTTATTATTCGAACCCATGCCTGGTGACAGACACTCAGGGAGAAAAGATCACTGCCTCCACACCGACAGATACCTGAAAACCAAGGCCTGGAGCATCTCTGCACATTCTGGAATGTCAGCTGAGACTCATGGCCCGTGGTGCACCGTTGGAGCACCCTCTCTGTCAGCGTCTGCATCCTGCGGTGTCTGTCACCATGGTGCCATGTGTGGACTTCATCCTTCAGTGTGCACTAGTACTTGGGGATGAGGTACACAACACCTTTCACCTTTTATACTTGCTGCAGAGCCGAGGTTCAGCGAAGGTTTGAGCTGCTGGATGAATGGGGCTCTAAATGGCAGTCTCTAGTGCTTTTACGAGAACAGGGGAACCACAACAAAAACATAAGTGCATGTTCTGGTTTCTTGAGAGGGCACAAGTTGTGACATTGTAGGTCATTAATGTGCTGCAAATCTCTGTCATTAGGAGGATAATTGCCTTCTACTGTAGAGAGGAAGTGGCTGTATAATTATAGCCTGCAGGCTGGCATCTCACCTCCCTGCTGTCTGTCAGAGCTAGAAACTGAGATGCTATGTGGCAGGCACCTGGTTTCTTAAGGATTAACCTACATCAGTACCAGAAGCCACTGGAAACACAGTGAAGTGCAAACTATTCCTGATGATTTCAGAAGACAGATCCTTCAGAGGAACCACCATCACAGATATTACCTTGATATTTTGGTTATTGAAGCTTGCTTTCGGAGGAGTACTGACTAGAAGATTCTGAAACCCACCTTCACTTGGGATGGCAGTGCTTGTTGAAGCTGCCATTTTCTGCTGTTTGCCTCAAAGGTCGTTGAAGGTGGTCTCAGGAATCACTAGGGATGCATGGACCAAGTTTGCTCCTGACAGGAGGCTGCCCTGCTGTTTGGATTTTGTCAGCTTGTCATAAACCTAGGCATATCTCTTCCTAGGGAAGAGGAAATCTTAACAGAGAATCTCTCTCCAGAAGATTAGCCTGTAGGCAAGTATGTAGGGCATTTTCTCGTTGATGACTGATGTAGAATGGCCCGCACTACTGAGGATGCTGCCAAGTGCAGGCAGGTCAGCCTGAGTTGTAGAAGTTGGGCTGAGCAGGCCAGGAGAAACATGAAGTAAGCCGCACTCCTTCATGGCCTCTGCTTCAGTTTCTGCTTCCAGGTGCCTGCCTTGACTTCCTGTCCTGACTTCCCTCAGTGATGGGGAACAACCTGAGAGTTGTGAGCTAAAATACAGCTTTCTCCCCAAATTGCTTTTGGTCATAGTGTTTTATTATAGCAATAGAAATGCTAATTAAGACAGCTGTGTTAGCATGTGTGGTAAGGTGTGTAGGGTTCTGCTAATGGAGCTTTTGGCCCAGTGGTGTGTATATAGCTATATCCTGAGATTCATATTCTGCTGTTCATTAAAAGCCAGGTTGGGAAATACTCAGCGATAAAGAGGTTGGGAGAGATAGTGATGACAGGCTGATCTATTATTCTTTTTGAAAGATTCATTATTCTTTTTGAAAGATTCATTCTATTTTTATTTGTGTGTGTGTGTGTGTGTGTGTGTGTGTGTTTGTGTGTATGCACGCACGTGCATGCAAGGAATGAATGAGCACGTGGGTGTAGGTACCCACGGAAGCCAGAAGAAGGCATCAGATCCTATGGAGCTGGAGTTAAAGAGAGTTGTGGGCTGCCTAACACGGGTTGTGGGAACCCAATTCTGGTTGTCTGCAGGAGCAGCCAGTACTTTTAATCACAGAACTGTCTCTTCAGCCCGAGATGACATGTCATTCTAAGATTCACACTTTCTCTTATCTGGCTATAACTGTATAAAGTGGCCACATGAAAATAAAACAAAATTTATTCAGACTGGGTCTTGGTAAACTGGAAGGCTTCACTTGATTCAAATGTGTTCAATTAAATTTTTAACAAAACTATATCAAAGAATTATCTCGTTCAATGGTGAGACTGTGGAGATAATTTCAGAGCAGAAATTTTACCTTCCTTGGAAATGCAAATATAAAACGTTTTATCGATACTAGTGAGTAATAATGAACACATCAAGCAAGTTAAACAGTTGTAGACAGGTATTCACTAGTAAATACCTACATTTTGGGGCCAGTTCCATGCTGCTCTTGTCTTTGGGGACTCTCTGTATGAGCTCAGGAACTCAGTTGAACTGTCCTCAAATGCTCCCAAGGCAGTTTGCTCCGAGTCCCTGAATAGCACCTGCCTCATTGTGCTCCAATTCTTGTTGCTGTGTATTTCTTGCTGCCTGGGAGGTGAGGTTCCCCAGCACCTGGCATGTGGGCGAGCGCATGAGCTGCTTTTCTCATTGCTGGGATGGAATGCCTGACAGGAGCCACTCAGAGAAGAAAGCATTTATTTTGTCCCGAAGGTTGAAGGGTCAGCCCATCAGGGTGGGAAGGCATGGTGGCGGGGGTGTGGGGCAGCAGGCCACACAATCAGGAAGAAGAGAGAGATGGACGCTGGTGCCCCATGCTCCTTCCTTTTCATTCAGTCTGGGACCCTAGCCCAGCAATGGCACTGCCCACCTTGAGGATGAATCTTTTGACTCCAATTAATTAACCCAAGATAGAAACTCCCTTACCAGAGTTTTGCCTAGTCGTTGATTCTAGACCTTGCTTGACTGGCAGTGTTACCCATCATGGTGAGTCCATAGAAGATGGAGTTCTGTGAGTGGTGAATGAGGAATAGGCGCTCGTTACATTTAGTCTCTCACACATGCCAAGGAGAAGCCGTGCCGTACAGAGCTATTCCCAACTTGTTAATACATGTCAACTTCCTCCCACAGTTTAGAATAAGGAGTTCATGGTGCAAGTGGTTTTACGTCTCTCCCTTCCTCATTTCCTTTTCTAGTCCTCTCTTCCTTCTTCTCAGTCTTGAGAAAAGATCTGTCGCAGTCATCTTGAATCCAAGGTCTTTCTGAACACCAGTTTCTTCTTTCCAGGCAGGCATTAATGAAAACGACTTTTATGATGGAGCTTGGTGTGCTGGCAGGAACGACCTGCATCAGTGGATTGAAGTGGACGCACGGCGACTGACCAGGTTCACAGGGGTCATTACGCAAGGAAGGAACTCTCTCTGGCTGTAAGTAGGTCTGGACCGACGCCTGCCACCTCTGTCTTCCACTTATCATTTGAAGGGAAATTGCGGAGCAGTATCTGATGAAGAGTGACTGGAATACTGCCAAGGCTGAAAGTACACCTTCCTCTTTGCAAGGACAGAGCAGGGCCCACCAGGAAGGGAGGATGAAGTGGACAAAGGCACAGTCATAGATAATCCCTGAGGCAGGTGGCCACTATATTGGATCAGACAAGGTATTGGTATCTGAACAGGTAGGTTAAACTCAGCCTGAGGTAGGAACTTTCAGCAATCAGTGAGCACATAGCCTTAGGAGCCGAGAGGAAGAACCATCCTCTTGGAGAAGACTCTGGGAGAAGGACTAGAAGCCTTGGCAGGTTCCCGAACAAATGTCCACTTGAGACATGTTATAAGTGAGGGATCAACCAGCTTGAGACCTGTGAATGAGACCATTTCTCAGACTGGAGCTTAGGATTAGAGTTGTGACAGTGGTGGTGTGATGGTGATCTTGAAAGGTGGCAATAAAACCTTGAAACCATCCATCTCGGCTAGAAGGCAGCTCAGCTGGTAGAGTGTGTGCTCACCATGTGTGGATCCCTGGGTTCCGTCCGCAGCACTGCATAAAACTGGGAGAAGTAATGCACTCCTGTTCTCAGCAGCTGGCAGGTGCAGGTGGGAAGGTCAGTTCAAGGCCAGCTTTAGCTCCTGAACTGGTTACTTCTCTATTGCTATACTAAAACACAGGACCAAGTCAGCTTATAGAAGAAAACGGTTTGTTTAGGCTTACAGTTCCAAGGGGAAAAGGGTCATGATAGCTGGGAGACAGGAGGCATGACAAGCTGAGAACTTAGACCTTGAACCGCCAGCAGAAAGCAGAGAAATAGAGGTAGGAATGGTGTGGGGTTTTGAAACCTCAACCCCAGTGTCTAGTGATGCAATTTCTTTAGCAGGGCCACACCTTCTAAACATCCACAGACAGCACTACCTACTGGAAACCAAATGTTCAAATGCCAGATGCTATGGGGGCATTCTTACTCTATCCACCACAGCAATGAAGAGTTCAAAGACCAAGCTGAGCTACATGAGACCTTGTCTCAAAACAAAGAGAAGAGAAGAGAAGAGAAGAGAAGAGAAGAGAAGAGAAGAGAAGAGAGGGTAGGGCTGGGGAGAAGAGGAGAGGAAAGGAGAAGAACAAAACAACAAGAAAACATAAAAAGGTGGATACCAGATGAGTCTGCTCACACAAGGAGGACCTAGAATAATCAGATTTATAGAAGCTAAAATAGGATGGTGACTGTTAGACACTGGGAGGAGGCTGATGGCGAGTTAATACTTGTAAGTCAAAGAGCTAAGGTTCAGGATGATGACACCTTCTGGACATGGTTGGTGGTGATGGTGGCAAGTCACGGCAGATGGACTTAGAGCCACAGGGCTGTACACATATCAAGGCCGTTTGAGAAATCCTGTGGCATGTATATGTTGTAAGAATAAATATGTATTCTTATCATAAATACAATACTGTAACATTTAGAATCATTAACACACACACATCAGGGTAGTTATGAGGATGAATGGCTCTGACCTTGGGTCCTGTGTATGCAATGGGGCCTCAGCAGTTCTCAGTGTGGTCAACAGGACACTGGTGATTTCTGAATTTAAATGAGAACTCTTCAGATTCTTTTATACCTGTCTTCAGATTCCTTTATATCTGTCTAAGACAAGTCAAGGACATGCAGGTTTTAACATTAGCGACCGGTTGTGTGACTCTGTTAAGATCCCTTCCTTCTGGTAGCTCCCTTCCCCTCACAGAGCTGCAGTCTAAAAGTTCCATTTCTTGGCATCTTTCATCGTTGACCAATCATGTAAAATCAGAATATGGCTTGCTGATGAGACTGTCAATGTCAGAAGGGTTAGGGACAGAAATACAGTTCCATATGCTGCCAATGGGAGCCTGAGGGAGTCTTTCCAGAGACTTCTACGCTGGTGAAAACAGGGTTCATGACCTTACTGCAGAAAAAAATAATGGCAGGAGTCCCTACAAAGTACAATTGGAGTTTAATAAAAGAGCTGCATATAAATATAGGCTTAGCATGGGGCACTCAGATTTAGAGATGGATACTCAGAGAAAGGATAAGACATAGCCAAGTGTTGGGTGTGAGCTTATCAAGAGAGAGTGACATTTGTGTGTCATTACAATAGCCATATACATGATTTTGGTCACTTCCGAAGCAGTTCAGTTTCCAAGGATAGCCAAGGAACTTTCCATGAGACTTTAAGGTTGTTCCCAGAATATACTGGATGGCTACATTTGGATGGCTACATTGTATCCTCAGCCAAGAAGCAAAGAGTGCTGAGTGCATGCTGCTGCTCAGCTCCCTTTCTCCACTTAAGCAGTCTAGGATCCCAGGCAGGGAATGGTTCCACCCATAGTGGGCAGGTCTTCCCACTTCAACTAACATAGTCAAGAAAAACCCCAGGAAGCATGTCCAAAGGCCCATCTCCCAGACCTGTCTAGATTCTGTCAAGTTGACAATTAACACTAGCCATCACAGAGATAAATTTTAATTTTGAAAGTAGTCAACATTAGAAACTAAATAACAACAGTAATAAGATTTCATCCTTATTCATAGTTAACTGCTTGTCATTGTCCCTGGCTCTGTATTGTTTCTGGTACAGACATATTTCAGGTTTTTTATTTTTGGTTTCTGTCTTTATTCCTAAAAGTTACTGAGATACTTGCTGATAGAGTCCATGTCCTGGCATTTGGGGAACCTGTCGAGAACAGGCATCTGTTGGATGCCCAACAAATGACTCCCTAATAAATGAACAAATTAAATCAATAATGACCATATTCTTGTATGGCGACAATTGTCTGGCAGTGACTCACCTCCTGCTTTCCTCTGTAACTTTTTTTTTTTTTTAGTATAAAGACAACATTGTAACATCTAATGGTGTTTTAAAACATTACCCATGATCCCACTGTTTTTATACCAACAGATTTTTCTTATATGCTGCATATCCAATTATGTTATTTTTGACTTAATATATCCATAACATTTCCATGCTGTGACTCAGATTTCATAATGATTATTTTTAATGGCCTGTGATTTACTCAGCCATCACTGTCTCAATTTCTTGCTACCTTTCTCATACTGAAAGAAAAATGTTGTGCTTTTTCTTTTATTTGAATTATATCCCCCAAATAAATAATTTTCAGAGCTGAGATATTTCATGCAGCTTGACAACATTTGATTATTTTTTGCTATTTTGAGAATTACACGTTATTTACTTTGCTTTTCAGTAGCATTTATGAATATATTTACTCAAGCCACTGTTTGCTCTGTACTATGCTTTTTGCCCTCCTTAATGGCATATTATCACATGACAGTTATTTTTACTACTTAGATTCTGAAAGGCTTTAGGGGAGGAGGGCTTGGAAGCTGGGTTGCTGAAGAGAAAATGGGAAGTTGGGAAGAAGAGACTGGTGTGAGGTAACCAATAAGGAATTAGAGCAGGGGTATTGATGATCATGGTTGGCTATTAACCTGTCTGGCCACTGTCATTAGAGATGAAGTTGGTGGATTGTTATAGGATTAGAAAATAAGAGCGAGGTAAGTACAATGCTCCCATTTCATTTTAACTCCAAACACAAGGGAGATGGGGAGAAGCAAGAACTGTGGAACACTATCCCTCTGTAGCTTAGGACAGGGGCATCTAAGAGGGGAGGCAAGGGATAAAATTACTCCTAAGAGTCAGATTTTTCTTAATGTATAATTCTATTTCAAGTCAAATTATTTCTCAGGGATAATGAAGAAAGCTGATGACTTCAGTGTACCTTACCTCCTGGCATAGTTCTGAGGGAAGGGTAGCAGGATATGCTTTGGTATCTAGGTTTTGCCTTCAGCAGTGCATGAACAATGCTGAAGGCAGTCGGATCTGCTGCAAGGAGTAAAACAAACAAGCAAGCAAACAAACCTGTCCGAGTCAGACATCCTAAATGCCTGAAGTGAAGATGACAGCGCCCATCCCATTCTCTCACCCCTGACTTCTGGCCCTGTATTGGTTCTGGTACAGGCACATTTTAGGTTCCTCTCTTTTTCATCAACAGTTACTGAGAATCTTGCTGGTAGTTATAGAGGCCATGCCCTGGTATTTGGGGAACCTGTCCAGAACCAGGCATCTGTTTGATGCTCAACAAATGACTCCCTAATAAATGAATATCATGAAATCAACAAAAGTTCATTCACCCTGACTGGTAATGAGTGAATTGATCTGTGACTGCAAATGACTGAGAGGTTTAAAGCAGAATGAGGAAGCTGGAGAGGGAAGTAGGAGAGAGAAGGTTGGAGTGTGACAGACATCTAGAGATGGATGGTTCCCACCCTAAAATCAAGGCATGCTCTAGTTCCTGCTGGTTATGCAGACTCCCTACTTTGGACCTTAGTTTTCTGTCCTCTAAAGTGGACTGAATACGCTATCTCATACAGATGAGTGCGTGTGTGTGTGTGTGTGTGTGTGTGACTGTGTGTGCGTTGGGGGTCATGAGCAATTATATTAATTATATTAGGATATTTGAAACTTACGCAGCACACAGTAAATGTTTACTAGATAGGAATTTTCCATCTCCTATTCTCTGGGTTTATCTAGAACAGTGTATTTCTAGTTTTATTTTTAGCCATAGGTCCTTCTCTCAGATGCAATATTTATTGGAAGCACTTGGAAACGACAGGCAGGTGAGACCGCTCTGCGGTTCTGCAGGGGGAAGAACATCGCCTGCCCTGCCCTCCACTCGTCCTGTCACTGAACCCCTTGTTGGACAGTTCCTCACATGTCTCCCTATTAGGCATCCTGGCCACTTGGTATGCTCTGTGCAGGATACAGTCTGCCAGTTCTCCATGTGTTGTCTGCTGCTATTCCGCAGACCCTAGGCAGACATGGGATTCAGGCCAAACAAGCAAAGCTAGAGCTGGGGACAGAGTTTTCCTTTTCCAATAAATGTGAAAGAG